GCTTTTGGCCAAGATCCTCGTTTGACTCGCCGAATATGCGGTGTGATGATACGGCGAGTTCTTCTGTGGTCATCCATGCTGGTTGTTTCTCAGCGCTTTCTGCTTCCTGAATTGCCGCCTGCTCCTTTTCCACTTGCTCCGTTCGACTTGCGGTTGGTGTGTGACACGTGGTGCACAGTCCGTGAGCGTCAGCGTCATGAAAGTTGATTTCACGCGGGTGAGGACTTCGACGAACCCACGGTCTTCCATCCGGGTGCTCCCAAGATTCCTTGTTCATGAAGGTGAAGTTGAGGGGAACAAGATCCACGAGTTCGTCTGACGAGGCTTGACAGGAAGGTATGTCGAAGTCTAGGATGTAGATCCCGTTGATGGAACGCGCTCGTCCGAGGTACTTGAATGCTTCAGGAGGAGTGTCCGGGGGAGCGTAGGTGAGAATCAGATCGCGTGTTGCAAGGTCTGTGTGGATGATGACGCCACAGTCGCGTAGTTGTCCAGCGGAGAGTAGGTTGAAGCGCAGGTTCGGGACGTAGAGTACGTCGTTGAACGAGATGTGTGTGTCACTGTCTCGCGCTTGCAGGACGACGAGTCCTTGTGAATTTGCGCGTAGTTGCTCGTTGTTGGCGACGGTGACATGAGTTGTAGGAGCGCGACTGAGGTTAGAGACATAACGCGTGGACCCCACCATGTGTTGACCGCAGCAGCTGTCGAGGTACCAGGTGTTGTAGTTGTCGGTTTTGTTGTGGCGTAGCAGCAGCGCCAGCCGTGGTGTTACCAGGGTGGTCTTGAAGCGCCTGTGGAAGTGAGGATCTTCGTCTTCCTTCCAGCCCACTGGTACGTAGTGCTGATTCTCGTGAGGCGGGCTTTCCCGTAGTGTGATTGGAAGATTCCAATCTTGATTTTCTTCGTCGTCCAGGTAGTAGTGATCCTCGGTGAAGGGATTATTCCATCCCTCTTCTGGTTCCAGTAATCTTCCTTGGACCTCGTTTTCTTCGTCAGGTTCAGTGGTGCGTCGTCGTCGTGTTGTCATATTTGCGATGATGTTCCTGGGAGGTCCTGACTGCAGTCCTTGATTTTGTTGGTGTTGCGCAGGAGAACGAGCTTGCTGGTGAGATTGAGGATGACGAGCATCTTGTCGGCCGACCCAGTTGTTGTGATGAGTGGAAGTTGGGTGGCGCTAGTTGGATCGGGATTTGCATCGATCCGTTGAGTGTCCGAAAACTTTGCATATTTTGCAGTAATGGCGCCTTGGTTGTCGTCGCTCTTCTCGGTTGTCTGTGTAGAAGGCGAGGCGCTCTCGGCGCGGCGCGAGGCTTGTTCTGCTTGAGTCCATGTCTTGCTGTTCGGACAGGAGTGCGGCGCATAGCGCGGCTTCTGAGATCGTTCCTCGCTGTCGGAGTAACGCCTTGCAGGGCTTTCACTCAGGCCCGAGTCCTTGAAGGACTATATTGACGAAGATCTCTTCTGAGATCGTACTCCCATGCTTCGTGATCTGGTCACGGATGTTGCGACAGCGGTTAATATATGGATTTGCTTTCTCCCCGTGCCCCATTTTTATCTCCAGGAGTTGCTGGAGAAGCCTGCTGGAGGTGACCGAATCCTTCGACTGGTAAACTTCAACGAGGTGCTTCCAGGCTTCCATTGCTGGAGCGTCGCTCTCTTTGTAGGAGCGTATGTTGAGTTGTTCCGCAGGTGTCATGTTGCGTAGTAGTACGCTGTAGGCCATGAGGGACTCACTGTAGTACTGAGCCCTGGCGACGTCGGTGTTTTCCACCGGTTTAGAATAGAAACCGTCGAAGTAATGGTAGATCTGCGCCGTTTGTAGGAGGAGCTCTAGCTCAAAACTCCATGTGTAGAAATCCTTGCCGTCGAACGCGGCAGTAGTCTTAATTTTTGAAACGCTGAGGAAACGTGTTTGCGCAGAGTTGATAGCCTCATCACTTGGACGGGGGGCAGTTGTTGCTGATTTGTTTGTGTCGAGGGAGAAGGTGTGCGCAGCGGTATCACGGCTTTTCTCGGCCGGTTGTCCAGGTTGTGCTGGTTGGGAGTAGTTTCCCGCATCGCCTTTGCGCAGTTCTTGGAGTTCTTTCTCCATGGTCGAAAGTCGAGCGAAAAGTTGCTCGAGGGCGGCAGTGCCAATCGTGGTTGTCGCCTCATTTGTCGCAATTGGGTTGGGTTGTCCTTCAGCCGTCAGATTTGCTTGGCCTCCGGATCCTCCGGCCATCTTGGTCTTGGAGCGTGTGCCGCTCGCCAGGTTTCGATTCGGCGGGTTTCACAGAAGTGAAGTTGCGAAGAATTCTTGAGTAGCTCTCATACCATGTTACAATCCCAAATGGTATTGCAGCGGAAGTTTTGGGACCTCAGGTCAGAGTGAATGTAAAATGACTGAGATGATGATAACATGCATACATCGGGTTTATATAAGAGTACAGGAGAATACGAAAGGTCATAGACTAGCCATGTACTCTAAGGGGTACATTCCCTTATTGCAACTGAATTCAAAGAAACCGTGCGGCGCGGGAAAAACCTGTTCCCGCTCTTTTCACTTCAAATGTTTCTGCCTGCATCGGTCTTAGTCTGACGGTTGCTGTGTCGCTTCGGCTCTTTCTGACTCCTCATCTTCGTACTCGGTAGAGTCGGCTCCTGCAGCATTCAGGAGTGCCTTCACAAAGTTTCACATCGTAACAATCTCAATAGCAGAGTGAATGTAAAATGCTTGAGATAAATTAAAGCATGCAAATACAACGATATAAATAAGAGTATAAGGAAATATGAATCGTCGTAGCTAGCCATCTACTATAAAGGGTACATTCTCTTATTCAAATTAATTCCCAACCGTGTGGCGCGTATATTTACGAAACTGTTCCCGCCAATACCCTTTTGCCTGCAGCTGCCTGATGCCGTCTGCTCCGACGGTTCAGATGCATCTCATTCGTCTGACGTTTCGAGTCAACTCTGACTCTTCACGTTCGTTCTCGATACTGCATGCTTCTTTGGCTGCGGTCGGGAGTGTACTGTAATTTTCATTCATTGCTATTCGTAACAAGAACTAACGAGGTCCTTCAAAGTCGCGGCGCGAGTTGTTCAAGAAAGATAAACTGTGCGTAAAAGCTTTCAAACTCGATAAGTTCCTCGATCTCAGGATCATTTCGGCGGGAGTTTCATGTAGTTACCATTCGGGTGATCACTCGCCTGTGTTAAGTTACCATACGTGTTAAGCGAGTTACCAAACGTGTTAAGCGAGCTACCAAACGTGTTGAAATCGTTACCGTACGCGTTATAGTGCCCCAGGTAAGTTACCATTGAGATATTCTCCCTAAAAGATATGATCAATGGCATCTAAGTGCTAGCACTAGAAATTCTCGAGTTCCCCCCGATGCCACAACACGTGCCGTATTTCATGGCGAATTGTGCGGAGAACGAGAATCTACCGAATTTGAAGGGCCCTCCTCACAAGTTGTCGTCAGATTCGCCGCAACTCACACTCTCCGACGTGCGTATGCTTCTGAACTGCTGACTGACGAGGTGCCATGGCTGCAGCGCACGCTGCGGGCAGGCTGGTGTTATCAAGGGCCGCACGAAAGCTCACTCGCAGCGTAGCTCCGAATCCCACGCGAAGAATACAAGCAGCGAATCGACATTCGTTTGCTTTTCGAGGCTTCACAAATGTCTCCGGAAAACACGGGCGAACGGATTCACCTGAAGGGGATCCGTCGCAGCCATGGAACGCAAGTTCGCGAGGACAGCGGAAAAGAGCGTTTCTGTGCTCTCGCGGATTCTACGCGGGTTCGGAGAGGGGTTTCAGGGGATGTGCGCAGCGCGACGGAGTAACGGCTGGTGGAATCGCGCGAGATGATTCTGCCGCGGTTGGCGGGACGACGGCTGACGACAGTGAGATCTGTCGGGCGCAAGCCGAGAGGCGCAGCGCAATGGGCGGCAATACGAGTGGAGGCGACACGCGGGGAGGCGACTCGGAGCTGATGTTGAGGGGGAACAGCGAGGAGGAAGGAGCACAGGAGGAGGAAGTATTAGCAAAGGACGGAGAAGGCAGTAACGAACGGCTCTATAACGAGGACATGTGCAAATGGCCGGACAAGGTATCACCCGTCGTGTAGGAATCTGTGTGATTCCAAGTGGTCCCACGTGGTCCCACGTGGTTCCACGTGGTTCCAAGGAGCACCATGCCTTTTACAACTCCCCCCCTCCTTTTCCTGAATCCCTGCACTCGCCCTCTTTTGCCCCACCTAACCTTTCCCCTCCCCATCCCCCTCCCACACACTCCCCTTCCCTCTCCCCTCCTTCAACAATCATGCACTGCACCCCTGCACCTGCGCTTGGCACCTGGGCTGTGTCTGGTGGGAACACCTATCGGCAACTTCTGAGGCGCCTCAAACTCCCCCACTTCCTCCCCCCTCCCTCCCCCCCCTCTTGTGCATACCTGCAGCTGCGCTTGGCCCCTGGGCTGTATCTGGTGGGAACTCCTATCGGCAACTTAGAAGATGTTACCATCAGGTGGGTGCGGTTACCATCAGGTGGGTATGGTTACCATTAGATGGTTGCAGTTACCATCAGATTGGTGTGGCTACCATCAGGTGCTGCGATGTGCCAATCATCCCAAGCCCACCATCCCACACCACCATCCCCCATCACCATCCCACCCCACCATCCCACACCACCATCCCCCATCACCATCCCACCAGGGCGCTGAGGGTGCTGCGCTGTGCCGACCTCATTCTAGCAGAGGACACGCGCCGCTCCGTCAAGCTATTGCGCTTCTACAACATCACCACACCCATGGTGGGCTGCTTTTTGTATTGGCTTTAGGATCCTACATGTTGAGAGCACACGCTCCTTTCTTTCCCTCTCTCCCCTGCTCCGTCCCTTATTCTTCCTGTTACGACATTCAAATCAGCTCTTACTTTCCCCCGTCTGTACTTTACAATGTGCAGATGAGTTATCATGCATTCAATGCCACGGCTCGTCGAGAGGCTCTCATTGGTCGGATGCGATTCGGCCAATCGCTGGCGCTCGTGTCTGACGCAGGCATGCCGGGCGTCAGCGATCCCGGCGCTGACCTGGTCGCTGCGTGCGCTGAGTCAGCAGTCCCCGTCAGCGTGATTCCCGGCCCGTCTGCTGCCACCACTGCGGTTGCGGCAGCTGGCTTTCTCACCAACGGCTTCACCTTCTGTGCGTGACGAGGCTCATGTGGGTGATCTGCGTCTTCTGCTGTCATGCTCTGCTTTGTCTCTTCGCATTGCAGCACACTTAGGCATCGCACAAGCTGACTTTTGAGACGTCTCAAAAGTGGATTTTTCCGCACTTTGGCGTCACACAAGCTGCTCTCCTCCCATTTCCATGCCTCCTTCTTCATTGCCTTGCCCATCCAGTGGGGTTTCTCCCAGAGCGGTCGGCAGTGCGGCAGCGTCGGCTGCAGGAAGCAGCGGAGGGGGAGGCGATGCAGGTGCTGTTTGTGGCGCCGCACAAGCTTCTCTCCTCGCTCTCCCACTGCATCCTCGCCTTTGGCCCGGACCGTCCGTGCCTCGTGGCTCGGGAGCTTACCAAGCTGCACGAAGAGGTTCGGATATTCTTGAAAAACATAGCACCTTCATTAACGTATGGAGTTCATGCTCCATGTTTCTCCTTCTTTTCCCCACATACACATACCGTATCATTCTCTCATCCACTCAAACACACTGTCTTCAACAATTTGTTCTGTTTGTCCTCAGCTGAATCCTGCCCGCAATGTTGCGTTTGTCCGCTCTCTTGCTCAGCTGTGGCGAGGGACGCTCTCAGAAGCACTTGCGGAGTTCACGGCTCGGGGGCCAAAAGGGGAATTCACCCTGGTAATTGATGGCCTCCCCCGAAAGGACCTGGACGCATTGCAGCAGACCGGGGAGGAGGAGGTGACAGCTTACCTTGAGAAGCTGATTCTCGACGGCACACCCCCCTCACAGGTTAGTTCACAGGCTGTTCTTTGAGGCAGCTTTACCTTATTCTGATGACATAGCTAGGCAAGGTTGAGTCAATGCTCGAGAGAGTTTGGTACAAGGGGCATAACCCTAAAGTTCTATCCTCTATAACATCTACCCCACTGCAGCCTACCTATATATATAACACATATATATCATTTGACACACCCCCATAGGCAAAGTGGGGGAGAGCAAAGGGTCACAAGACAAGTCAAAAGAAGCAAAGCAAACTCAGGGTGGATCACAAAGTCACCACACTGTCTGAGCACAAGCAAAGGGCCACGGGGCCAGTTCACAAGCATAGATATACATGCAGCAATAGCAGTACAGTGATGACTATCTAACAAGAGCCATCAAGGAGGTATATAGATAGATCACAGTACAAGCAAAGACTACAGCAAGTGAGGAAACGTAGGCACAAGGCCTAACAAGGTGCAAAAGCGCTGATGATCACCAGACGGAAGTGCCTTGGTGAATATATCAGTAGTGTTGGCCCGAATGGCCACGTGACGAAGACGAAGCTGCCCTCGCTGCTGCAACTCTCGAGCCAGGAAGTAACGCAGAGCGATGTGCTTCATTCTGTGTTCCAGTCTGTGCTCCTCACACAAGGCAATGGCTGCCTTGTTGTCAACGTACAGAACTGGAGGAGAACGAGGCCTCTCACCCAAGTCAGTCAGCAAGTAGGTAAGCCAGCGTAGCTCCTGTGCAGCCATGGCGGTGGCGTAGATCTCAGCCTCACAACTGGAGCTGAGAACAGAAGACGAGCGTGTAGACCGCCAAGAAACAGAGCCAGAGCCAAGGCTGAAGGTGTAACCCTGTTACGAGCGCTGTGTAGCCTGGTCGTCAACCCAAGAAGCGTTTGAGTGCCCAGTGAGGACCACCTCACTCCGTCCTCCAAGCACGAGCCCCATGCCCGATGTACTGCACAAGTAGCGCAGTACCCTCTTAGCAGCAGCCATGTGCTCTGGTCGGTGTCTACCAGGAGCCACGTAGCGAGCGAGAAGGCCAAGAGGGTACGCTAAGTCAGGACGAGTGCAGGTCATCAGGTACATGAGGCAGCCCACGAGCTCTGGGTAAGGACCACTCGGCTCTACGGACTCGTCCGTAGGTGGAGTTGAGAGCGAGTGACCTGTAGCCAAAGGAGTGTGCTGCGGCGAGGACCAAGTGAAGCCGAATTGCTGAAGGACCTGCTGCACCATGTGTGACTGAGTCAGTGTGATGGTGCGGCGTGCTCTGTCCCGAGTGATCTGCAAGCCAAGGTAACTGCGCAGTTCACCGAGGTCTGTGCACGCGTGTCTCTTCTGCAGCTCCGACTTCACCAAGGCGAGAGCCTCAGTGTCAGCTGTGGCAAAAACCAAGTCGTCGACGTACACGAGGATGTAGAACGGCGGCAGCGAAGTGCCGGTGCGCAGGAACCGTGACGGGTCAGCAGTCGAAGGAGCGAACCCAAGAGCCGCAAGTGTAGTCCTCAGTGTGTCGTGCCACTCACGAGGCGCCTGGCGGAGATCGTAGACTGGCCGCCGGAGGCTCCACTGGGTACCAGGAGGGAACGACCCAGTGAAGCCAGGTGGGCGGCGCAACCAGATCTCCTCGTGCAAGCTGCCCTGTAGGAAAGCAGTGCTGAAGTCAAGAGAGTGGAGCTCGTAGTCACGCTGAGCGGCGACGTGCAGCAAAACCCGAAGAGCGGTCATCTTCGGGGTCGGGGAGAAGGTCTGGAAGAAGTCAACTCCCTCTCGCTGACTGAAGCCTCTGGCAACGTAACGAGCCTTGAAGACAGGCGGAGAGCCCGGCGGCCGCTTCACCCTGAAAATCCACATGCCATCGACGATGTTTGCCCAGGAGGGGGAACCGCATCGACGTAAGTGCCTGTGGACTTCCATGATGCCATCTCTGCGTCTATGGCTGTGTGCCACTGAGAGGAGTTCTCACCCGCGATCGCCTCTGCGAATGAGCGCGGGGTCGGGATGTCTGGTGCATCCGGGTCTCCCTCAGGGGCAAGCAGCATGGCCACGAGATGAGGCGCAGCAGCCGCAAGACACTCAAGGTCCTCGTGCCTGTCCTCAAGGACGTCCGTGCTAAGAGCACACTCACCCCCGACGGACGGAGGACAGGCAGACTCAGACTCAGCAACAAGACTGGTAGCGAAGTCTAGACGACAGGCAGCAGCAAAGTCAACAAGCTCAGCGACCAGAGCAGACGCGGTAGTAGACTCAAACGACGGGTCAGTGACAACAGTGGCTAAGAGACGCGTGACAGTAGGGTGCTCAGCACGAAACCGGTCATACGCAGGGGCCGGAACGTCAGGCAGAGACGACGCAGGAGGAGACGGCAGAGAGACAGGCTGCGGAGCAGAGGAAGGACGACGGACTACGAGGTGCGCGCTGGGGACAGCCGGCTGGCGCGAACTAGGAACACGATGACCGGTACGATCAGGACGAACAGGCGAGACAGGACGCGACGCAAGCGCACGACGCTCAGCCAGACTACTTGTCTGCTCAGCGTAAGGAGAAGGAGCAGGCAGTGGTGAGCCAGGCTGTAACAGAAGACTAGTAGACGACGGGAGAGTAAGAACCTGACGAAGAAGAGAGTCAGGCGGCGGCTGAGACGACGGAGACGGCGGAGCGAAGAACAGTCGTGTCGGCGCAGCTGCACCAGCACCAGCAGCTCCAGACGCTCCAGTACCTCCAGCAGCTCCAGCAGCTCCAGCAGCTCCAGCACCTCCAGCAGCTCCAGCACCTCCAGCAGCTCCAGTCCCAGCTCCAGTCCCAACACCTCCAGTCCCAGGGTCTCCAACCTCAGTGTCTCCAGTAGCAGCATCCCCAGAACCAGCACCTCCAGTCCTAGGGTCTCCAACCCCAGTGTCTCCAGTAGCAGCACCCCCAAAACCAGCACCTCCAGTCCCATGGTCTCTAACCTCAGTCTCTCCAGCAGGAGCACCTCCAGACGCAGCACCCTCAGCCCCAGCAGCCCCAGTACCCCCAGTACGAGCAACTCCGGAACCAGCGACTCCAGCAGCAGAGCCAAGGGCTCCAGCAGCGCGAACTTGACGGCGACCGTACCAGCCCTGCAGCTGCTGTGGGGTGAGAGGCACACGCGGACGAAGGCGGCTACTCCAAGGAGACCGCGGAACAGCAGACTCAGAACCCTCAGCGCCAGCACCCTCAGCTGCTCCAAAACCTCGAGCACCAGCACCTCCAGGCTCCTCACGCGTAGGCACAGCACCCCCAGACTCCGCACCCCTAGGCTCAGAACCTCCAGGCTCCCCTCGCGCAGGCTCCGCACCCTCAAACTCGACACCCCCAAGCTCAGCACCCCAGGAACAGCACCTCGAGCAGGACCACCCTCAGCAGAACCTGAGTCACCAGTGACCTCAGCAGGCGCAGGTACCGGAGGGTCTACCTGAGAAACACCTGAAGGAGCAGGACCTGGCGCGGGGAGGGGGTCTACCTGGGGAAGACCTAGAGTGAGAAAGAGCGGCGGGGGGCGAAAGGCAGTGCGGTAGGGAAAGAGACGGTAGAAGGCAACAGACTCGTCAAAGGTGACGTCCTGAGACGCAAAGACACGGCGCGAGGTGGGGTCGTAGAACTGCCAGCCAGGCGCGTCAGGAGGAAAACCAAGGAAGACGCAGGGAATGGCGCGAGCAGAGAGCTTGTCCGCAGTGAGATCGCGGACAAAGGCACAAGCACCCCAGACCCGGAAACGCGACGCTTCGCCAACCTCCCCCGTCCACAGCAGTGTGGGCGAGGTCTCCGGCAAGGAGACACGGGGCCAGAGGTTGAGCTAATGCGCGGCGTATCGGACCGCAAACGGCCACAGAAAATGGGGAGCCGCCGCATGGATCATGGAGGTACCATACTTCCATGACTAAGCCAATGCGGCGCTCAGCGACCCCATTCTGCTGTGGAGAGGCCGGAAGCGTGAACGACTGGGTGATGCCGTGCTCCTCACAGAAGGCTCGTAAGAGGTCGGAGGAGAACTCACCATCTCTGTCAGAGTGCAGACGCAGGACGGGGAAGTCCGACTGGAAACGCTTGCGGAGCTGGAGACGAGCAGCGCGGATCCAGGGGATCAAAACAGCAGGGACGTCACCCTTGCTGCGCAAGGGGAAGACCGTGGTGTAACGCGTGTAGTCGTCGACAACCAGCAGGAAGTACCGCTCACGGCCCTGTCCCTGGACGCGGGCTGGTCCCCACACGTCCAGGTGGAGCGTCTGCAGCGGAGCCTCTGTGGGAGGAAACGAGGAGGAGTGAGGAGCGGCGCGCTGCCGCCCCTCGACGCAGGGAATGCAGGGTGGCGCAGGCGAGGGAGGGAGGGCAGGCAGAGACCTGGGAAGCCCAGAGACTAGGGAACGAGAGTGCATGCTACGAAGGCGAGGCAGGGAGGGGTGACCAAGGCGGTGGTGCCACAGGAGAGTGTCGTGCGACAGGCGACGGCACTCACACTGGGTAGCTACCTGAGCAGACGCGTACAGCTGAGGAGACAAATGAGTGTAGCGTGAAACTGTGGTGAGGGTGTACAGACTGGACCCCGGCTCACGAGTGAACGTGGCTAGGTGGCGGCTAGTCTTGGAGCACGTGCAGATCGCCACACGCTGCCCTCAAGGAGTCCAGGTGTCAACCCAGTGATCCTGAAGAACGGCGTTGCTCACCAGGTTCGTGGAGAACGAGGGAACATGGAGACCTGACAGCTCACCAGACGGGACCGCCGGACAGGGAAGCACAGTAGTGGACCGTGCAAGTACTGGGCCCCCTGAGGGGTCGGCCAGTGAAACAGGGACAAGTGCAGGGAGGGGAATGACGGTGGTGCTATCGCGAAAGAAACAGCGGGAAGCACCAGAGTCAAGTGTAAACGTGTGCAAGGCCTGAGCGGACGCAGTACCAAGGGGAGCAGACTCACCAGCACCTAGGGCTTCAGCCCTTATACCGGGGTCAATACCAGGGTCAGGCGGCACACACAAGTAGCAGTCACCCTCAGCACTAACAGTCAATGCATACATGGCAGCAAGAATAACATTATAGTCCAGATCAAAGATAGGCACATCACGCCTAAGCAGCTCTGCCCAGTTGGGAAACTCAACAGCATCAGGATACTTGGCGCGCCAGGCGTCACTAAGCCTGGCGAAACAGCGGTACTCAGTGTGAAAACCGTTGCAGAGGCGACCCTTGCGGGGGCCAGTACGAATGACATAGGGGCAGCGGTCAGAACCCCGAGACGCCCCACGCCCAGCATACCAGTCATTGAGCTGCTGGGAGGTGAGGGGAGGAAGGTGCTGCTGCTGCTGCTGTGGCTGCTGCTGCTGCTGGCCACCCTTCTGTCCGGATCCACCCCCACTCCCACCTCCACCGCCAATGCCGCTGCCTCCTCCCCCACCACCGCCGCTGCCGCCCCCACCGCCCCTGCCGCCACCCCAACCACCGCCTCCACCCCCACGTCCACCCCCACCACCTCCACCACCCCCGCCGCCTCCACCACCGCTCCCTCCACCGCTACCTCCGCCACCTCGGCCACCCTTGCCACCCCTGCCACCACCACGCTTCCCACCAGGAGCGGAAGCCGCTGCGACCTTCTCCGCACCGAGGGAGTCGACAGCAGTAGCAGCAGAGGCGTAGGAGGGGTCAAGAGGGGAGGGGGAGCACCCCTCAGGAGCGGAAGCCGCTGCGACCTTCTCCGCACCGAGGGAGTCGACAGCAGTAGCAGCAGAGGCGTAGGAGGGGTCAAGAGGGGAGGGGGAGCACCCCTCAAAGAGGGGAGTGCCACGAGCAGCACCGACAGCGAGGATGTTCTTCTCTGCTGCGACCAGCTGCTGCTCGAAGTCGTCCAGAGTGATAGTTGGAGGATCCTTGGCAAGGAAATGATCCCTGACAGAGCGAAGACTATCAGGGAGGCGGGTCACGAGGATGTAGAGGGTAAAGTACAGAGGAGGGGCGTTCTTGGCGAGGAACTCGTCTGTAAGAGCGGCTCGAAAGCGGGCGTCACTAGCGCGGAGGTGAGTGATAAGGTCGGCAGCAGTGTGAAACGAGGCTAAGTCTGGGAACAGGTAGGGCAGGATGAGACTACCAACGGTGGCTGTGGCCGGGGCGGAATAGCGGGCAACGACAGCATCATACAGCGTCTTAGCATTCTTAAGCTGGTTGAAATGCGCGCGCTCAGAGATCGGTAGATGATTGCGAATAACAAGGCGGGCTACTACATCGCGGAGCTCCCACTGTGCTCTATCAGGGGCAGGAGCATTCTCAGCGGGAGTAGGGACAGTGCCAGTCACATAGGCGAGCAGTGATACTCCGTCTGCGACGTCAGTCATAAGGTAAAGCCGCAGATCACTAAGCCAGGTGTCAAACTCGATGGGACGGCCGTCAGGCTCAAAGGCGAGAACTGTAAGGGTCGCCATGGTTGCAGCGCAGGCAAAGGCTCAGGCAGCAGGCAAAGGCTCAGGTAGCAGACAAAGGCTCAGGTAGCAGGCAAAGGCTCAGGTAGCAAGCAAAGGCTCAGGCAGCAGGCAAAGACTCAGGTAGCAGGCAAAGGCTCCAGGCTCAGGCAGCAGGCAACTGTAGTAGGCAACTGTGCTTAAACCCTAAACCCTGGCAGACGCTATGCACAGGGCAGCAATGAGCTGCACGAGCGGCGGGCGCGGCGTGTAGGGCTTAGGTGGGCTGCGCGCGGGCGGTAGGTGCTGCGCGCAGCGCTGGGGCAGACCGCGCAGGCAGCAAACGCGACTCGCGGGGCCTAAAAGGGCTGCGCGCGAGCGACGAACGCGGCGCGCGGGCTGCAGACGGGCCGCGCGGGGCCTTAGCGGGCTGCGCGTGGCAACAACGGGTCGCGCGCGGGCGGCGCGGGCTCTGGGCGGGCTGCGCGAGCGACCTACGGGGCGCGACACGGCGGGCAGCAGCAGTGCGCGCTAAAAAAAAAAGGCGTGCGCGCGCAGCCGAGGCGCGCGCGGGCAGCAGGCTAGGCAGACAGACAGGCAAGGCAGGCAGGCAGGCCGTTGGTGAGGTAACTTAGTAACCGGTGGGCCCTTAAACTTAGGTCCTAAGAACCTGCTCTAGATGCCATGATGAGATAGCTAGGCAAGGTTGAGTCAATGCTCGAGAGAGTTTGGTACAAGGGGCATAACCCTAAAGTTCTATCCTCTATAACATCTACCCCACTGCAGCCTACCTATATATATAACACATATATATAATTTGACATATTCTGCAGAACTCCATTTCAACGCTGCAAAATCACACTCCTTAATCACGCTCATCCTAACCTTCCCAATCATTCTTTGTGGTGTGTTGCTGGTGTGTGGGTGCTGCCATGGCATACATGCAACTGCTCATGCCCCTGCCCCTGTGAAGGCTGCTAGGATGGCTGCTGATGCTCTGCGAGTGAAGCGCAAGCAAGCCTATGCTCTCGCTCTTGCCATTTCGAATCGCTTGCAGCAGGCACAAGGTCAGACAGAAGAGGCAGTAGGACCAGGAGGGGAGGCAGAAAGCATGAGTTTGGAGGGAGAAGGTGAAAGTTGAGAGGCCAAAGGATGAAGTTAAGAGGTGCAAGGTGTGAGGGGAGCAGGGTACTGCCCACTGTAATACATCACCTTGAAGTGCATTCCTTGTTTGTGTTCGTTGTGAATCCCTTGCCCAGGCAGTCTCAACGTCACTGTGCGGTATTTGAATCAGCGTTAACATGAAATGCCGCACAGTACATTAGTATAATCAAATCACGCTCTAAACATGGGCCAGGATGAAAACGAGCACAATGGATGACCACCCCCTAGCAACACAATGCTGCCCTGCCCTGCCATGTGTTCGGCAAAAGATACTGTAAAAATGGCTCCAGGCAACAGCACATCCCAACCCAGCAAAATGCCTCCTAATCATCTCCAGTTCACCACTGCCCCCTGTTGATACGCACAAAACCAAACGGACAGACATGAAAACTATCGCAGCGGGTCAACCCTGAGAAGACGGTAATAAGGGAGGGACAGTGGGTGAGGTTTTCCCAGCCAAGTTGCTTCAACCAGCTGGTTGCTAGCTGATTGGTTGTTCAGTTGCTTGGCTGGTTCATCATCCACCCTAACCTAGCCGCCCCACCCCCCCCGGTACCACCAGGGAATGCTTAGTTCGATACCCTCCACCACCACCACCACCTGCTTTCCAGACCCTGCCCCTGCCACCACATTCCCTGCTCTGCTGCAGCCACCTGTTCCTGTGCTCTTGCCGCTGTCCCAGCAGGCCTGAGCTGAGCAGGCGAGCAAGGGCGTGCTACCAGCGGTTGTCGGGCTGTTTGACGCGGTAGATGCGCACGATCCAATTGGCCGAGGTGAACGCCTCTTCAATGTACTCCAGCTCGATGTCCTTGTTGCCTATCTCGTACCCGCGTGCCCGGTCCCACCTGCGTGCGGTGAAGGCGGGGAAGGGGACAATGAAGGGAGAAACGGAAATGAATGAAGGACTAACTGGCAGAGGTGAACGCCTCCTCGATGTATTCCAGCTCGATGTCCTTGTTGCCTATCTCGTCGTACCCCTGCGCTCGGTCCCACCTGCGAGGGAGGAAGGGGGAGAGTGCATGTCAATCCGAGGGCCTAGGACCTCCTCCCATGCGCTTTCAAATGCACATGGTGGAGAGGTTGAAGCTGCAGAAATTCCTTGCTACCTTGTTTTGCCCCCTCACTCACCCACTTTCCCGCTCTCTCACTCACCCGCTTGCCCTGCCCCCTCACTCACCTGCTTGCCCTGCAGTCTAACTCACCCGGTTGGCTTGCCATATTCCGTTTGCAGCTCGCCAAAGCGGTAGTAGCACATTTTGTACCTGCCATGACACACGCATGAACACAGAACATACAGAACACACACCACCCACGACCATCCCAAATGCAGCACAAGGGGGCATGGAACAATACAAGCGGAATGCCAGCAGGCAGGGACAAAGATATTTATTTGCGCGAATGCAAAGAAGCAGCTAATAATGAGGGACAATGGAAGGGGCTACAAGGTGGAGGTGATGGCAGAATGAAGAATCATGCCCATGGCACGCGCGCGGCACATGATGCATGTGGCACATGATGCACGCGGCACACGATACATGTGGCACATGGTGTTGTGTGGCATGTTTTGGTGCAATGACAGTGCAGTGGGAGGCACAGTGGCAGCAGCGGCGGGCTCACACGGGGCAGAAATCGCAGGAGGCAGCACGGCTTAGCAATGGCTCAAGGCGGCACTGACATGAGGCAGTTGAGCACCTTGGGCGAGCCATTGGCGTCCGTGCGGTAAAGAGGTGACTTTTGGGTCAACTCAAAAGTCACCTCGAGGCAGCACTCACATGAGGCAGTTGAGCACTCACATGAGGCAGTTGAGCACTCACATGAGGCAGTTGAGCACTCACATGAGGCAGTTGAGCACTCACATGAGGCAGTTGAGCATCTTGGGCGAGCCATTCGCGTCGGTGCGATAGTCCCCATTGTTGAGATAGTCCGGCTCCTTTATGTCCGGAAACACCCCCCCTCCAATGCGCACCATCCACAGGAACCTGAACGGGGAGAGTAAGAGGGAGGGGGGAGAAAGTCAGAGGGGAGAGGAGGGGAGGGGATAGATTAAAATTCCTTTATGTCTGGGAACACACCGCCCCCAACCATCCACAGGAACCTGGGGAGGTGGGTCGTGAATACGGAGAGAGGGATGGTGGGGGCCAGAATGCGGGGGACAGGAGGATGGGAGGACAGGAAGGGAGGAGCTCCTTGATGCCAAGAGACACACCCTTTTCTATGCACACCATTTACAGGAACCTGGGACGGGGAGAGAGGGGGGTGTGAAACCAAGAACCTGAGGCCCCATTACACCCTAACCACACAAAACAGCAGTGCACTTGTTGGTATCGTCACGCGAGTAACCCGTGACTCCCCCAAACACCACGAGCACGTAGTCCACATCCAGCTGCTGCATTATGCCGTACACCTGCTCCTCGTACGAGAGAGCACACCATGGCAAAGCAGAACCCACACACTTGTTGATATTGTCAAACGAGTACCCCATGACCCCTCCGAACACCACGAGCACGTAGTCAACGTCCAGCTGCTGCATGATGCCGTACGCCTGCTCCTCGTACCACACGCCACAGGGCGACGTTGTGTCTCGCCTCGCAATGACTACTAACAAGGGAACTCACTTGTTGATATCATCGGACGAGTAGCCCGTGACTCCTCCAAACACCACGAGCACGTAATCAACGTCCAGCTGCTGCATGATGCCGTACGCCTGCTCCTCGTACGAGGCCATGGCGCGCCCCACAGTGGCAATGTGAGTGTTGTTCCACGTGTTGTTGTCCACGATGACTGTGCGGTTCGCCATTGCTGTGATCTGATACCCGTAGTCCCACCACGACATCACCTGGAGGGGGTGGGGGAGGGGGAGAAGGGTGGGCGGGAGGGGAATAGGGGGGGAGAGAGGGACGTTCATTACTGCACACACACACACACCAGCACACAAACACACCCACACCCACACCCACGCACCTTGGCATCGGGCTTGGTGTTGTGCTTGAGACAGACGTAGGCCTCACGGAAGTCATCAAAGATGACTGCTGCGGCGCCTCAACAATCACACACACACACACACCCCACCAATCCAAACCCCCCATCCAACCCACCACCCATGCACCTTGGCATCGGGCTTGGTGTTGTGCTTGAGACAGACGTAGGCCTCACGGAAGTCATCAAAGATGACTGCTGAGGCGCCTCAACAATCCCCCACACACACACCCCACCAATCCAAACCCCCCATCCAACCCACCACCCACGCACCTTGGCATCGGGCTTGGTGTTGTGCTTGAGCCAGAAGTAGGCCTCACGGAAGTCATCAAAGATGACCTCTGAGGTGCCTCAACGGTCACACACATACGCACCCACCCCTTAACAACCCCACCCCCCAGGCAGCCACCCACGCACCTTGGCGTCGGGCTTGGTGTTGTGTTTAAGCCAGAAGTAGGCTTCACGGAAGTCATCAAAGATGACCTGTGAGGCGAATCATAAGCCACACACACACCCTTACCAAACCCCCCATCCAACCCACCACTCACGCACTTGGCATCGGGCTTGGTGTTGTGTTTGAGCCAGAAGTAGGCTTCACGGAAGTCATCAAAGATGATCTGTGAGGCGAATCATAAGCCACACACACACCCTTACCCAACCCCCCCAACCACCCACCCACGCACCTTGGCATCGGGCTTGGTGTTGTGTTTGAGCCAGAAGTAGGCCTCACGGAAGTCATCAAAGATGACGCGGTCGCCGTTGTGCTGGCGGGCCATGAGCACAATGGACGGCGACGAGTACGCCTCCGACGTCACCCACGTGCAGTGCCGCGCGAAGTTGATCAGGCAGAAGAATATCCCCGCAATCAGCACCACCGCGCCCTCCTTCTGGTACGGCAGCGAGCTGTCCTGCGCACCCTGTGGCGAGCCGAAGGCGGGCGCGATTGAGGGAGGGGAGGGGCAGCGGTTGAGACGCAAAGAAAAAAGGGAGAAAAGGGTGAGTCACATGAATACAAGAAGCCAGGAATGCAACAGACACATGGCAAGCCCAGTGTTCCTTCCACACATCCCCACTCACCTTCAGCTTGTCCCTCGCCTTCCCAGACAGCTTCGCAGAGCTGGGTGCAGCAGCAGCAGCAGGTTCCGGAGTCTTCTCACGGGCGATGGCGGAGAGGCGGGAGAGGGAGGCGCTGACGGCGACGGCGCCGAGGAGGCAGAGGGCGGGCGTGGCGACGAGGATGAGGCGCACCATGACGCCCGCGAAGTACATGGCTGTGAGCCCGTAGATGATCACGAACATGGACGCATCGTTGAGACGCTTGAAGCAGAAGTAGAGCCCTGGGCAAGCGCACACGCAAGCGGCGGCAAGGTGTGGCAACAAGAAGCGGAAAGAAGGGACGGGGGGAGGGGTTGGCAGAGATGGGGGTTTGGCATGGGCAAAGGGGAAGGGTTTGGCACAGGAGGGGGTTGGCAGGCGGCGGGGAAGGTGGGTGGGAAGGTGGGTGGGCACGCAATGGAGGTTTGCCACATGGGGTAAGGCCAGGATTACGGAGCAATGCAAAGGAGGATGAGGGGACGGGTTGGGGAGAAGAGGAGGGGGGCCGAGATGGGGAAAGGGAGGAAAGTGCTTAGAGGGAACTCCGAGTGTTTTGCGGAAGGTGAGGAGGAAGAGGGGAGGGAAGATGGGGGCAAGGGCGGCACTGACCAGCGGGGAAGAGGATGAGGAGGATGTGGAAGTCGAAGAAGAAGGAGGACCAGGCCGTGGGCTGGTGCTCCGACACGGACGCGATGATGGGGATGTGGTCCTTGGCGTACGTGGGGTCCAGCAGCGAGTAGAACCGCCCCGTCCACGGCGAGATGTAACCTGGCACGCAGGGGGGAGCGCGGGCAAGGGAAAGATGGGATGGGAGAGAAGGAAGGGAGGGACACGGAAGGACACACGGACGCGATGATGGGGATGTGTTCCTTGGCGTACGTGGGGTCCAGCAGCGAGTAGAACCGCCCCGTCCATGGGGAGATGTAGCCTGCGGCGTGTGAGGGTGCGGGCGAGTTGAGAGTGGAAAAGGGGGGAGGGGAAGAGGCGAGACGGTGAAGGGGGAGAGAGGAAGAGGCGAGACGGAGGGGAGAAGGGAAGAGGGGAGAGGGGGAGAGGGGGAGAGGGGAGAGTGGGATAGACGGGGAAGGCGGGGGAGGAGGGGAAAACGTGAAAGAGTGATGCACGAAAGAAAAGCAGGGGTTAGGAGACAAAGGCGTGAGGCAATCAGACGGAGCTCAGACAAGCGCAAGGCGTGATAACACGGAGGCCAGACGGTTGTGAAAGACGATTAAAAGGAGGTCCGATGGGTGTGACATGTGATAAGAGAATCGAATGTGGGTGATGCGACGAGCGAATGCATCGACCACCCACGCACGCACATCCCCGTGTTCTTTCACAGCAGAACCCATCTCTCACCGGTGGCCATGCCGACGGCGAAGGCGAGAGAGCCGACGCCACCGAAGGAGAAGACGACGACGCGCAGGAAGGTGCGGAAGAGCTTCGGATCCGCGAGCTGGTGCTTCACCCAGTCCACGAAGAAAAACACCTGCCGACAACACGGACACACGGGACAAAACGGGACGGGACGGGACGGGGACGAGGTGAAATGGTGCCAACTGCGTAACTGTTGGGTCCGCCAGCTGATGCTTCACCCAGTCCACAAAGAAAAACACCTGCCGATAACACGGACACACGGGAAGAACCGGGACGGGATGAGACAGCACAACGCGAAATGGTGTTGACTGCCTAACTGCTGCTTTTTCTGAGCGACTGGATAGTGCAATGCCATGGGTGAGTTAAATGGGCTGCTTGCAACGACATGGTTTTGCGCGGCGAAGTGCCTACCGGAACGAGAAAAAAATGTGCAGAATCTCAATAAATGCCTACCTGAATGATTGGGAGAATGCGCTAAATCCGCTAGCTGCCTACCTCAATCCGACAAAATGCGCCGAAATCCGCTAAACGTCGATCCCAATGAGACAGCATGAGCCGAAATTCGCGAACTGCCTACGTGGATGAGGCAAATGACAAATTACCCGCCAAGTTTCGAACGGACTGTCCGCTAAGTGCGTACCTGGATGAGGCAGAAGGTGCCGAGGGCCGCCATGTGCTCGCTGGACTGCACGTGCTGGAAGCCGATGAACCGGATCTGCATCGCCAGCAGCATTCCGATGATGTAAAACGCGTTGTACGCGATATAAAGCCGCGGGGTGTAGCGCCCCGTGATCAGCAGCACCACCACGTAGATCGGAATCAGATTGATGATAAAGATGTAGCCTCCCCATGATGCTGCCATGTAGAAATAAGTGAGCGCGGCGCCGGCAGCCCAGGCGAGAGAGCCGGTGTTAACGGCCTTCACGAAGAGGAAGAACGTGAGGATCATCGCGAAAATGGCGATGCACTCGTAATCGTACGATCCTGCGACGGATCGCGAAATATAACCCGGGCAGATGGCCAGGAAGATCGCGGCGATAAGACCGGTTCCCGAATCGCGGATCTCCTTTCCGAAGAAATACGCGACCATGGCGGTGTTTGACGCGAAGAACGGAGCGGTCATCACGCACACGTCACGGATGTGAACCACCAATGAGAGCGCATGGAGAGCCCAGTAGATAAGCGCTGACGTCACCATGAGACCAGGGTAGAGAGTGAATCCGATAATGCGACCCAACGGGTACCATGTCTCGTGGTCGAACCAGTTCCAAAATTCGTAAAATCCCTTACGAGTGAGATACAGCGTGGTCCGGTAGTTAAAATAGGGATCGAACTCGTGAATCACGCTCTCGTAACGGAGCACGGAGAAGAGTCGAGTCGCGAATGCGAGGATGTAGATTAGTAGAAGCGTCGCGACGCGGATCAGGAGCTCCTGCTGCTTCGTCGTAAGCCGAAATTTCTCCTCCAGAGTATCTAATAACTCCGCCGTCGCGGACTTGGGAGCAGCGGGAGTGGATCCCGCTGCTCCAGCAGCCTTGGCTGGAGCCATGTCGGAAATCTAAAGCTCGCCAACACAGCACCACAAAGATCTAGATTTCCGACTAAGATCCGGACAATTACGCCGTACTAGAAAAAACCGCGAGAAAAGGACAAGTCTTTCCGGCAAAAACCTGGTCCGTCCTCGGACTTGCTCCTCCCAGCCAGCAAACGCCAGAGCTAAATTGGGGAATGGCGTAGATGGCCAGGAATTGTATCTGTGGTGGAGGATTTGGAGGAATTGGAGATCTCGAGGGCCAAGAATGAATGGGAAGAGAAGGGAGAATTTCCAACACCACGATTCGTGTTGTACAGACTGTATGCCGCAGAAATACATATCTACTTTTAAGCTTTAACGAAGCTTGAGCTGTAAAAAGGTATGTTTTGTGCTCTGTTGGAATTTTCCATCCTCCGCCATCGATTTCATCGGACAGGAAAAAACTTGCATGCTTCCATTAGGTCGCTGGTCAAATACGTCTTCAGGCAGCTGCGTGTGACCTCAAGCAAAAATCTCAAGTCTGCCTGACTCTGGTCTATCGTAGAAGACCATCATTAATGCAGTGATCTGGAACTTGTAGAAGTGCTTTCGGAGCACTAATACACCACCTCGCCTTCACTCGTCCATCACAGCATGGCGTCCGAAAACGTCGCGGAGGAGGAAGACGCAGGTCAACTGAAGCTCGGATCAGGTCGCATACTATTCCCTAGCCTAGTAGCTCCATCATGCAGCGTCTGCGTCTAGCTTCTCCAGCATGACACCGTCGCAGCTAACCCTAGCACCCTCTTTTCTCTCGTATCTGTGATCCTACGGCTTCGCGAATCTTAATTTCCCCCGATGTGTCAGAGTTCAGTCGAGCCAAGTGCCTCATGAACGCCGAGGTGGCTCTCATCCTCGATAAGAAGCTCGAGAGCCTCCGGGAAAACAACGTTGATCCCATGCTACAGCTTAATTCGTGAGTACCTGATCAAAGCTTGCGCTAGCTTTCTTCTCCCTATCAATCCTGCACCTGAATTACGTCGTTAGGGTCTCTCAGACGTTTTCAAGCCTTCATAAGTCAATAATCGTGAGCCTTCATTGCGTGCAGGGTGCTGGAGAAGTCACTACAGTACGTGAAACGGTTCAGCCGTTATCAGAACCCTCAAGCGGTGAAACAAGTCAGGGAGTAAGTCTCCCAGTGCACAACTTCAATGCAATGCTGTCACGGTAGCGTGCAATGCTTTCATGGTACGGATTAAACATGACATTGTGGGTTGACGTCATGTTTGGCAGGGCATTGGCTGGCAAGGGCAAGCTGCACGAATTTGAAGTGAGTGCTGGATCCACCTGGTATCCCTCAAGCTCCCTGTCTTCCCCACCTCCTCCCCTGACTCGTTCAATGCTTGACCATCTTCTCTGAAGGCATGTACCGTATATTCTTGCCTGTCGCTCCCTGCACAATGTTTAAAGCCCGCGGCCCAAATTGCGGACCGCGCGGGTCAAGTTTTTAAAGCTTGACGAAGTGGGCTGTGCAAGCTTTTAAAAGAAGCGCAGCTGCAATTTGGGACTTTCAAAATCTGACACACCCGCCAGAGTAAAAACGCGGGGACTGGCTAGGTTGGGCGAAAAAATCGAATTTCACGAGATCGGAAACTCTCGCCAAAACCCAAACCAGTAAAACTCCCTCTCGTCATCTTTTAAGAACTTGTGCAATTTGGGCCAACGGCACATGTGTTCTGATTGTGTCTGTGCAGGTGTGTGTGATAGGCAACCTGGCACCTGACACTGTGGATGAGGCAAAGTCACTCGTGCCTTCACTAGCTGTACGTTTCGATTTCAGGCCTTTCCGGCACTTTGAATGCACTCAGGCCTTCATTGTTCCCACCGAAATTAGTCAGTGAACAGTGAAGTACCTGTAAAACGGAGTGCACTCCATTCCCCTGCCCTGTCACGTCTGTGCAGATGGATGGCAGGGAGCCAATGATTGATGATGACCAGATAGAAGCCATGCTTCAAGACCTAAAAACAATTCGGACATTTGAGTAGAGAATCTTTTAACTCCCGTCAGTTGAAGTGCAGCTTGAGCTCTTCAGAGGTCATTTCTTGAAAGAGAATCTTCAGAGCTTTGAAAGAGGTAGCTATGCCTTAGGCATTGGAACTTGCGTGGCAACGAGGGTGGGAAATGGCGACCAATCTGTGCCTGCCTTGGGCACAGGTGTAACTCAGTCATGAGGAGCAGCAGGGTAGAGCCAACAGGCCCACTCTGGTTGATATGGACAACTTCAAACAATCACTTTGTGCGAATAATCTCCTAGCTCCCAACCAACTCTCAACACATCGGCACCTCTAACCATCCCAGCTAACCTGTAGTGCAGATCGAGCTCCAGTGTACCAACTATGTATCATCCCCTAAACCCTTCACCACGCAACACATCTCACCAATCCTTGTTCAGTCACAAGGCAGCCCCCGGCGCCTCTTATACTCACTAAGAGTCAACAACCTGAGCCCCCGCGGGGTCTCCCCAGCAGCCACACCAATCGGAGCCCCATACAGCGCCTCCTGCTGCCTCTTGCGCGCCAGAAATGCCGCCTCCCACACTGCGGGCCCCACACTCCCTCTCTGTGCCGCAGCCGCTGCCCCTGCTCCCCCCCACTTGTCCACGACGCTCAGGTCTATGTCCATGTCAAAGGCGTGCTTCCGCAGCACCTGCTTCGACCGCTCGTCCAACTGCTGCCCCAACCAGCTCCCTAGCTGCCTCTCCCGCTCCTTCTCCCTCTCCTTCTCCCTCTCCTCCTCCGCTCCTCCACCCTTCCCATCCGCATCCTTTCCCTCCTTCCCCTTCTCGCCCTTGCCATCCTTACCCTTCCCGTCCTTACTCTTCCCTCCCCCGTCCTTGCCTGCACCCTCGTCCTCGTCATCAGACCAGGGAGCAGCGGCAGCAGTGGGGGCGGCGGGGCTCTTGTAGTAGTTCTGGGAGCGCGTCCACCGGCGAATAAAGGGATCCACAGCCGCCTCTCCCGTCTTGGTCTCTGTTGGAAGAGAGGCGGCGCAACGAGAAACAAAATGTTTGTTAAGACGAATCAGATGCCACCTCAGCTTCGTGGGACAAGAAAAAGTGCTCCAGCAGGGGGAGTGGTTGCAGCAGCCGGTGTAGCAGGGCTCTTGTGGCAGTTCTGGGAGCACCTTCAGTGGTGAATGATCATCGACCGACCTGGCAAGGAGCACCACGGACCTGCGGCGTCACTCTTACCACCAAAGGCGCCAGCAGTTGTGCCAAATACAGCTCTAACGACCCTGGGGCAGGGCAAGCGGAGCACCAGCCTACTTACCAGTGCCGGACCACTCTACACACCTGTGGCGCCAGCAGGAGCATTAGTGGCGGTGCGGAAGTTCTCCTGCCGGTTGCGCTTGTTCATCCTTGCTAGATCCACCTCTCGCCTGCCCTTGTTCGCCTCGCCCTTGTCCTCCCCTATCCTCTCCAGCTTCTCCAACTAGTGGCACACATGGGGTGGGGATGGTGGAGACAAAGGTAACCAGGTAACACATGTGATGGTGACGCGCGTTGAAGTAGCACAGGTACCGCTGATGCACGATTGCATGATGGTGGGAATGGATTGTGGAAGAAGAGGGCATGCAATGGGCACAGACACGTCGAGGTGCACTAACTCTTCCCCTACCACTCCCTTCCCCCTCTCTTCCCACCCCCTCTCCCCCTCCTGCTCACCTCCGCCTTGAGTTGTTCCACGGCTCCCAGGTCCCCTCTCTGCTCAGCAGCGGCTATATCCAGTCGTACCCTCTCCCTCTCCATCACCACCAGCTTCGGTCGCACCGCCACCAGCAGCCTCAACACCTATCCCTCACACATGCCCCTTACCCCCTTCCCGCCCCCATTTCCCTCCCCTATCCCCTCCTTTTCCCAGTCTTGCCGCTGCCCTTTCGCCCCCTCCCCCCCCCCTTCCCACCCCCTCTCCCCCTCCTGCTCACCTCCGCCTTGAGTTGTTCCACGGCTCCCAGGTCCCCTCTCTGCTCAGCAGCGGCTATATCCAGTCGTACCCTCTCCCTCTCCATCACCACCAGCTTCGGTTTCGCCGCCGCTGCTCGCTTCTCCCTTAGCATGCTGGCCACCACCTCTGCCGAGTACACATACCCTCGCACCGACTCCAACTCCGCCTTCTTCTCCTGCACCGCTGCCTTGGTCACTCTAAGTAGGAAAGGGGAAGTGGGGGTGGAGAGGAGGGGGTGGGGTGGGTTGGTTGGGGGGAAGGGGGTGGGAAGGCCCGGAAGGGGTCCTGCAGCATGCTGGCCACCACCTCAGCGGAGTACACATACCCTCGCACCGACTCCAACTCCGCCTTTTTCTCCTGAACGGCTGCCTTGGTCACTCTAGAAAGTGGTTGGTTGGCGGGAGAGAAAGGGGGCAGGGGGTGATGTTGAGTGGGTGTAGTAAGGGGTGTAGTAAGGGGTGTAGTAAGGGGTGTAGTAAGGGGTGTGGTAAGGGGTGTAGTAAGGGGTGTAGTAAGGGGTGTGAAAGCATGCTGGCCACCACCTCTCCCGAGTACACACACCCTCTCACTGA